CGCGGCACGGCAACGGTCCGATAGCTCGTTCCTTAACAACAGGTGTAGTTGTTAGAAGTTTGTCGAGGAGCTGCTGCGGGTAGCCATTCTTCACAAATACGGAGCGTAGAAAATCAAGTTCCTGTTGTAGCTTTGTTGGTGAACAAATGCGTTGTGCCCTATTTACAAGGTTACGAACTAAGTTTGACTTGTACTGGGAAGAGCAGAACGAGTCAAACATCATGTACTGCCCGGTGAAAGTGGGTTTACGGTATACTGTAGTCAATACACCAGTCTGGGTCTTTTCGACTAACACATCCAGAAACGATAGCTTATTGGACTCTTCATGTTCACACGTAAATCTCAGTGCAGGATGGATTGTATTCAGTTTCAGCAGAAAGTCGTCAGCGTCTGCTCTCGAATCAAAGTACGTGAAGGAGTCATCCACAAACCTGACGTACAATTCCGGCCACTTATCTATCTTCGATTCACAGTACCCAACAAACACATTGGCTAGGACCCCATGGTTGTGATATGAGTGCGCGTTTAGTTATATTCATTGCATTATTAAGATTATTGTCTCCACGTTGCCTTTTTCTTTATTTAATTTTCTTTTTTTCTTCTTTATTTTATTTTTATTTTTTTTAATGTTTCGGCTAGCTTTCAGGCTAACATTTCAGCTATTATCGACTACATGTATCGCGATCGTATACACACACACACACACACGCACACACACACACACACACATCAACGAGGGGTTTATTCAAAAACACCTTTAATGCAGTGTCTTCGCAATACGTGTAGTACTGATTAGAAGAGCAATCAATGGTTAGGATAGGCCTGCGACACACCGTCAATAACTTCTCATACAATCTAAAGATAATGAATGACTTCGTACACAGACCACCAAACAGAGTATTGAGATAACGTTTGATGTTGCTTTTATCGGTGAAGCGAAACAGATACATAAAGTTTGCATTGATCTTCATGTCCTTAATGTTATCAAAGCTCTGAGAGAGAAAGAACACGTTCAACTTATGATGATGACTGTACATGGTGAAGAACTTGTAGAGACACTCTCTTTGACTACCATGCTTCAAACCCATCACTCTGATGTCATCAATGATCACATAGGTATTAGGCTGGAGATCCATGTCTTCGATGCACTCGGGCATGATGCTGTAATGCTTAAAGGATTTGAGGTTTGGAAGACGATACTGATCGGCAGGCGTGTTGGAGATGACCACCATACGCTCGGGTTCCACGCGTTTCAGGAGTTTGATGAGAAAGTGGGATTTACCCATGTTGCTCTGTCCCAGAAACAATACGTTTTGTCCCCAGGATTTCAGGGCAGGAATGATTTCCGTGAACCAATCCTTAGACTCGAATTGAAGACCAGGAACGTGCAGCTTGTGTCGAGCAGTGACCGTGGATGGAACATCGTCATTCCTTACGGGACTAGCCTTTTTCTTCCTCTCGGTTTCCTGTCCAAGGAGCGAGATAAAGTCCATGATCAGATGTTGAAGGATGGGCCGATGTGAGCGGAACTCAGAGAAGACGGTCCTGCACTGTTAATGTTCTGTCGAATTTTTTGAGCAAATGGAGTTTCAGGACGGGTCAGTGATCTCTGTGGTGGTGGTGGTGCAGACAGGAATGACGAAGCTTCGTTCAGGGCACGATGTCCTAATTGCTTGAACAAGGCCCTTCCTTGTTTCTTTATTCCTCGTGTGTTGCGACCTTTGGAGAGAATTTGACGAGCTGGCTTTTTGGTTTTTCGAGGTGCTCGTTGCCGAATGTTCTTCGGAGCGTGACGACGACGACTTTTAGCGCGCTTCGTGGTACCTGTTGATCTTCCCTTCCTTACTCCTCTACCGAATATTTTATCCATGACGTTGTCACCTAGTGATGCCATGGTACCCATGGCTAAGGGAGCAGCCAGATTCGTTAGTAGTGGTATGGCCTTGGCGGCTAATCCTGGTGGAATGGCTAGACCACCTCGGTGCATGGACGGGTTGTAAGCCGTTTTCATTTGTGCTTCCACGATGTCTCCGGACTCTCCTCTCCCCAAAAGCATGGGAAGAAGAGTCATTCCTGCCATGGCAGCCAAGGGTCCAAGTCCACCGCGTTGCATATCATCTTGTTTTGTCATGGGTTCCGCCATCTGCTTGTCCATCTCCTCGGGTCCAGCACCAATAAGGTTTTTCCAGAAGCTCTTTTTCCAGAAGAAACCACCGTGTTGTCGACTCGACGATTTCAAATCACCACCGTAGACACGATGTCTGGTCTCTAGGTCACCACCTTCCATGATGCCCTTTTAGTACTAGATCGGAATTAATTTATACAACCTCGGCTTTGATGCCTTCGTCTTTGCTCATAGTGTACAGGTACTTGTCCATGCAGAGAAGGTTGACTTTGATCGAGGCACCATTTTCGCTAGGTCTTCTCAACGGAGCGTTTGTCACGTCGTTAAATTGATAGTCGATGGACAGATTTCCTCTCGATCTTGGATTGTCTGTCATCCGATCCAGATTCAAGTTGATAGGCACCATAAAGTAGTGATTGCAGTAATCTGCAGCAGTGATGGGGATTTGCGTTCCATACGTCTTGCCGAAAAAGTCTTGAACCAGATTGTAGCCACGCAGGTAGGAGGATTTGTTGTAATCGTAGAAGTATTGTCCTTCCGTATTACGACTCACATCCCACTGGAACTTGAGCGGGTTGTCAAAGAGCGTCTCGTCGTTGACAGTGACGCGAAGTTGACTGAGATTTGCATGAATCATGGCCAGTCTGTTCGAAGAATGTGATGCTTGGCCTCCAGCCAATGTTGGTTGTGTACCAAGAGTCAAATCCGTGAAGAACAGGATCATTCTGCGTGGTATGTCTGCATTGTGAAGCAGTTCCAGTGTACCAGCATCATCTGAAATGCTCTTTTGTATGAGACGAGGGCACCACGTATGGAAATAGAGTTGCTTGGGAAGGCGTACACGATCGGTAAGATTGGGTTCCATGCGATAGGTAGTGTACACAAAGTCCAGTTGGAGTAGATCGATGTTAATATCACCGACACTCAGAGCACTGTTGCCACCATCTCCCTGATCACTAAGCATGATGTATCTGGAAAGCTCGGATTGGGGTAGATCAAAGCGAAGCTTCATCTGTGTACCCGGTGGTAACCAAGCATCGTCCTGATTGAAAAACGGTAGGAAGGGTCTCAGCTTGTATTGAAACCGTCCAACGGCTGCTCGAAGTGCATTTTCCTGTACCGTGTTGGAGAAGCCTTCGTTGGTCACAAGCTCGACGGTGGGTGCACGCTTGGGTGTGAAATTAGCGTCGAAATCCGGTGCTCGTGCTGCATCAGCGTGTACAGCGTTTGTTTCGAAGGCATAGCCATGCTTACGCTTCACACCAAGTTGATAGGGCGATAAATCCACACCTCTCAATGCTCTTTGCGGATCCAGTTTCTGTAGACCGTAGAGATCCGAGTCAACGTACTGAAGACGTTCGCTGCTGCTTTCCATTAGACTGAGGATATGCTGAACCATCTGCATGTCGGCAACTTTACTCGATTGCGTGACCTCTGTTCCGTTGATCTCCACTCGAATGTTCTTGAACCACGAAAAGGCTGGTGACGTGGTGCACACCCATCGCGTATAGTCTCCAGGTTGATTATCGAGATTGTTTTTGACACTATAGCGCATTTTCACGATGAAATAGCTCTCCCCGAGAGCAATGAAATTCGGTGACGAGATGTCCAGTTCATTGTTCAGGGATGGTGGTGAGCGATCTCCTGTGGAAAAGAGTCGTACTCCGCGTCTACCCTCAAGCAACGAGAGTTTCTTCTCCGTCCTGTCGAGGATGTTCTTCTGAACGATCTTCGTGTTGGTCAGGAGTCCCGTGAAGGACTCCGGAGCTTGCGGCGAGTAGATCTCCTGTGCCATTCGTGCCAGTCACATTATAATAGGGGCGAATTTTTTTCAACGATCCAATATCCAGTGTCTTGCGAAAGTCGTTCATCATCGCTATCAATCGTCGATGCTCCTCGTTAGTGAGCTTCCCATCTTCCAGAGTGATGCCCAATTCCAACATGAACGCGTCTTCAGCTCTCTCCATCTGCTGCAGTTGTTCGATACACGTGACAAGCTGACGTTTGGTGTCGAGAACGTGTTTGCCTATGCATGCCATGATCACGCCGATGATCGTGCTACTGATGGCGATGATTCGAATGCGATGTTCTCCAGATACGACACCACTCCCTTGGAGAATATTGAGAAGGGTTTGAGTGAGTATGAGAAAATACAAGATTGCGGTGTTGTAAATCACGTACGTCTCCAGGCAACGCACCTTTTCGCTCTCCAATTCCTTTCGTTTTGCTATATCCTCCACCATGTCTCGCACGTGGCGGACACGAACATCTGGAAGATCCATCTAAGTCGTGCTGGTGATCCGAAGATCAAGGTAGACGGGATATCCGGAAGTGATGTGTTCGCCGGTGTTGAATTTCAACCAAAACGAAATGCTAATCACGTTTTCGTGTGGAAGCAGCAATCGCTTGTCTTCTTTTCCAAACACGTAGTTATTCAAACCGTTGAGGGTTTGAATGAGAAAGGTCTTCAACACCCTCGAATCAGTGTTGTCTTCGTACTCCACAGCAGGTCCAATGAGGTCGGTGTAGAGCAGGACAAGTCGTCTGTCTTTTGTCAGATCCACAGCGAACGGGAACGTGTGAGATCCCTCGATAGTGTATGGCTTGAGAATAGTGCCCACACCCAGCACCAATCCGGGTGAGTCCTTCTTCAACAAGCACCGTTTCTTCCTGGGTACCGAGACACTTATGCGGCTGGTGTGACGAGAGTAGGAAAACACAATGTCTCCGTGTCCTGCTCGTTTCAGAGTGGCATTGATTATAGACACCAGATCGTCTACATCGCTGTATGTTCCCGTCTTGATGGACAGTCTATCCTCTTCTTCTTCTTCTTCTTCTTCTTCTTCTTCTTCTTCTTCTTCTTCTTCTTCTTCTCTGCCTGACAATGTCAGGGAGGAAGATCGCTTTCATTGACACTGCAGAGTTCAAGTTCCTGGGGCGAAGGCTGCATGCTGATTGCTCTGAGCAGACCCAGCGGGAAGACATCCGTCAACTCACTGTATCTCTCATGCAAAAAGTAGATGGCTCTTGGCTTCAAGACCACCACAAGCTATGGCTTTACCACCATCTTGTAGTGCCCAAGCTTTCTTGGTCTTTCCAGGTTCTTGAACTCACACAAGGTTTTGTACGTGAACTGCACTTTATGTGTTTACCATTTCTGAAGAAATGGTCAGGCCTACCTCGATGCGCAAACTCTGCCATTCTTTTTATTGGCAGTCGCAAACGCTTTGGCTTACGCCTCCACTACCTTCCTACGGTGTGGAAAAGGTGCCAGTCCATCAAATGGCACATTCTTCGATCGAGTGGGGACGCGCGCATGAGGGCGCTGTACACTCTGCGTCGGAGTAAGGATGCGAAGCTGACAAAGCGATATGCGGCGACAATAGAGCTGGAGTGTGCAGAGGCATCAGTAGGTTCAGGGACTCTTCGTCCACCGTCATCTTCAAGTCATCGTGCAGGGTTGGGTGCTCGTGCTCCGAAGCAGCATTCCAAACCCCCGAGGAAGGATCTCCTTCAAACATTTGAGGAGATCAACGCGCAGGAGCAGATTTTGAGGCTGAAGACTCTTCAGGTGCAAGGCAAGTGGTTGGAGTGGACATCGGTGATGTGGCAGGACCTCTCGTGGAAATCCCTTTTGTACGGTGGTACTGGTAAGGATTTGAAATTTCTTCTCGCATCAACCCTCGACGTGCTACCTTCTCCGACGAACCTACGCCGTTGGGGAAACACCGTAGTGGATCCGTACTGTAGTTTGTGCCGTACCTGGGCCTGTACTACGCGCCACGTGCTTGGCGCTTGTCGCGTAGCGCTGGACCAGGGACGTTACACCTGGAGGCACGACAACGTACTCGGGGTCATCGTCAGGAACATGCGTGAGGAGATTCGAATCCGCACTGCTGCAAACACCGTACAGACCGAAAATTCAAATGAGCTTGACTTCATCTCGTTTTGCAAGGCGGGAGAGAAGCCAGTTCGCGTTCAGCCCAGACGAAAGTTGGTTACGACTGATCTCCTGTCAGCGGCCTCAGACTGGAAACTTCTTGTCGACTCAGTTAGTGCAAAGATTTCTTTCCCTAGCTGTGTTGCACTTACCACCCTAAGACCAGATATAGTTCTGTACTCTACGAGTCGTAGGATTGTATTCTGGATGGAGTTGACAGTTTGTGCTGAGGACAGATTCAGTGTCAGTAACTCGCGGAAGGACAGGCGGTATGCGGATCTGGCCGATCAATGCCGAGCAAACGGGTGGCAGGTCGTTTCTTTTTCGGTTGAGGTAGGTGTGCGTGGTTTCATCCCGGACTCTCTTCGGAGGGCTCTGAAAGCGCTTGGATTTTCTAATCGAAGAATAAAATTTATTTGTAATTTGTGCAGTAAGACGTCTCTGCGAAGCAGCTACATCATCTGGTTGCGGCGTCAACAAAAACACTGGTCGGAAGATCCACTTTTCTGAGGTACTGTATGTGGGGCTCCGTTTATTGAGGTGCGTTGAAATTTATTCTCTTTATCTTATTATTTCTTTTCTATAATTTCCCCATATGAGTTCCTATCAGTTGCTGTGAACACCTTGAGTGGAGAGCGCTTGCTCGAGCGTTGAACCGGGTTCTTAATCCACCATACCCAGTTCGCAAGGCTGGGCGGGGTTGTGAGCAGGCTTTCATTTCATCTTTTCTTATTATTTCTTATTATTTCTGCTTTTCATCTCATTACAAAAATTCTGCGCTTTTTCTCCATCTGCGCATAAAATCTAGACTGACAACCTGCTTGTTAAATCATGCACCTGCTTTCAGGCGTAAAAACCCTGTTGTAGAGGTCTCAGTCCTCATTTGTTAGACTTACCTGTCTTTATAAATGTAACTTACTTCTTCTTCTTCTTCTTCTTCTTCTTCTTCTTCTTCTTCTTCTTCTTCTTCTCCATGTACCAAATAGAGTTTGTTCGTTGCCTCGTCTATGTTCTCAAAGTGTACTTCAAACTGAGCCGATTCAACATGCAGGACTTTATCGCGCGTATCCAGGTCCTTCACATTTAGAGTAAAGTTCGGTTTGTGCAATCCCCTGCTCACCCCCGACGTGTTGTTCACCACCGTCAGTATCACAGACATTCTGATGTTGTGATGGTAATCACTATAGGTAGGTTTTATTTTTCATTTTCATCTCAAGAATGTAGAGTAGCATGTGTGCGCTATATATTATATGTACAATCGAAGTACTTAATACTTTCAGATATTGTAGTGTGCCATGAGTTCTGTGTGGATGTCCTGGATTGTGTGAGAAGATAAACTCTCGACAAAGTGCAAATGACAGAACAACTTTGACGTAGTGCGGTTGAAGAATTGAGTACCACCAATGCGGTAATCGCAATCTTCGATTCCATTGGTTCTGGAAAATGGATCCGTGTCCAAGTTGGAATGTATCAAAATGGAGTTTACGTATAGAGTGAATAGGCCTTCTGAATTCCGAGCGTAACTTATGACACACTTTGTACCCAAGAGATCCGTCATGCTCGACACAGGCTTATCCAAAGCAGCCGATAATTGGTTCGTTAAAGACGAAACGGGTAGGTTGAATGATGAAGAGCCGGAACCCGTGAAGTAGTTGCCACTTATGTGGGTGGCAGTGAACAACACGTACAAACTAATTTCCGACAGTATCGATGTCGAATGCCTTCAACGCCATGTTTCTAGGGTCAGGTGCATCCACTTGAATGACTTGGAACATTGCAAAAGACATGTTGTCGTGAAACAGATTGACGAATCGTTCTCTAATGGAAACTTGCTCGTGTTGTGAAATGTTGAGGTAGAAGTGACCGTCTCGGAACATGTCGATGCCGTTCACGATGATTCTCTTGTCGTTCAAGGCAACGAGATTTCCACCTCTGTACGTGTTTCTCCTCACCCTGGTGACGGATTCAAATCTGCTAGGATGAGAGTATATGTAGAGGTAGGCGTTTCTCCGAATGTAAGGTAGTAGATGAAACGGATCGGATAGGTTCTGACTTGATTGCGGACCCACGGGACCTCTGGTTCCTTGGGGGCCCACGGGACCTCTTTTTCCTGGAGGACCGGTTGGACCGATGGTTCCTTGGGGACCGACGGGGCCTATGGTTCCTTGATCACCTTGGACACCACGTTCACCTTGTGAGCCGTCTTGCCCATCTTGTCCTCTAGGTCCAATCTCACCTTCAGGACCCACTAATCCACGTTCTCCACGTGGTCCAACTTTACCTCTGGGACCTTCTGGACCAGGTATTCCTTGATCACCTTTTTGACCGCGCTCACCACCTTGTCCATCAGCTCCTCTAGGTCCAGTCTCACCTTGAGGACCGATCAATCCACGTTCTCCACGTGGACCAGCTTCATCTCTTGATCTATGAAGCCGACCGAAAGCCGTCCATTCCGAGCTGAATTTCTTGTACAAGATGAGCGTGGTTGCGTCCACATAGAAGTCACCGTTTCTCCCTACAGAGTTCAGTGGCATATCACCTCCGCTAAGCCATCCCAATCCCCGATCACCACGAGGACCTTTCATCTTGCGCACAGCGTCGATGTCGTGTTGCAATCTTGATGATGATTGACGGATTTCATTCTTCACCCAACCGGCAGGGACAGCACATGTCAAAGAGCTATCGTCGTACGTCAAATTACAGATCGAATGCTCGTTCATGTCGAGGTTAGCATCCATGGGCACGGATCCGTCTGTTTTAACGTGCAGCTCATCAGCTGCTATGGTTTGATCTGTGTAGCGCATAGATCTGTTTTCCACATCTTGCACATTGCTCTCATCGGCTTTCTCCTCTTTCAGTTTCTCCACATCATGAACCAAGGTGTTTTCGGTGTCATCGTTCCCCACAACCGATTGCATCTCGGCAATGTCATTCCGCATGCTTTGCATGTGTTTGAGGGAGGCCTCGTCACCATCACTCCTATGGAAATGCGTAGCCCAGTATGCCATCTTCGCACACATACACACACACTGTACTAATTAGGTTAGGAAATATTTTCTTTCTCAAATAAATCGTATTCTTTGATGGGTGTGCACATGAGATCACCCTGGTTCATCTTTCCCAATTCCATTCTTTTCACATCCTGCAACCCATTCTCCACTAGTAGGAGTGGGGATACTAGAGTCAGAAGAGGCAAGGCAGCACTCTTCAGTGGACGTACTACTCGACACAACACCACCCATACTTGTTCTTTAGAAGTTTTATTTTTTTATTATTATTATTTTTTTTTATGACTATCATGAGATATTGGAGTAGAAAGTAGTATACAGTCAATCAAGCCCGCCAAAAATATTTGACCAATCAGCATCGTGCACGCTAAAATCCATCTCATTTTAAAGGTTCCTTACACGATACCGCCACCTTTGTGAACTGATACAGTATAGAAATAAGATCACAGTCAAACGTGTGCATGTTCTGGATCACGTGATCAAGTGAATAGGTTTCCCAGCAATAAGCATCAATCAATGATGTCATAAGAGATATATCAGATGGAGATAAAAGCAGCAAATTCGAACGCAACGTGGACAGTTGCAATGAAGACACCATCCTAGTCGACTCCATGAGATGCAGTACGTATAGGAGTGGAAAATGCTGAGGAAGAGGTTTCATGATTCGACTGAACCTCAACCAGGACACATTGCTACGAGGTAAGTAGGAATGTAGTTTACGTAATGCATCCACATTCGTATCGTATACTATACAGGATAATGCTATAGAATAGTTTAGACTCTTGTACAAACAGGACTTCTTCATCGCACTTATCTGCTCTCGAAGAGGGTGTACACGAAGCTGATCGGATAAGAGTTCAGTTTTCGAAAGAAAATGCAAAAGATGACGATCCACACCACATAACCGCTCATGTGCAGCATAAGGCTTCTTCATCAAACTACATCTCTGATGCACCTCAACTTCAGGTAAGTAAACCACATCCATGACAAGTCCACACGAAGAACATACGTATCTTCCTTCATGAACAACATGATTAAGATGATGACACTGTTTTTCCTCCCCTTCTTGCTCTTCTTCTTCTTGTTGTTGTTGTTGTTGTTCTTCTTCTTCTTCTTCTTCTTCTCTTGCTTGTTCTTCTTCTACTTCACGAAGTCTCTTTTTACGTACATAGGCACGTAAGATATCAAAATCAGAATCCATCTTCACCCCACATCATCACCATCTTCATAATGAAACATTATCCAACAATGTATCTACTTTATATACCGACTCCCATCCGAGGCAATTAACAGGTATAACCATTGGGGGTACAATCATGATGCCATATCCCCTCAACCACCTCAAACACCCGAAAAATGATTTTTAAATATAAAAATACGGCACCCGGTTTTTTTACCCCAAAAATGGGGCCTTCAGCTCCCTTTCACCGGGTAGTGATTGTTGGCGACTGTCCATCTGTTGGATGCCATGCTGATCCCACCACCACCACCACCACCACCATCACCATGACCACCACCACCACCACCCACCCTTCTTTCCATGCTCGATGACATTGTCGATAGGTCGCTGATGTCTCATCCAGCGAGACCTTGGTGAGCTTCGGTCCCAGTATATGTAGTCAATTTGAGCCTTCCCTCTTATGCCTAGTCGTCCGTGGTGGTTTGGTACAGTTGGTGGGTACGAATCCAGCTTTGTTACATGATGCGTTTTTTTCCTTCTTTACGGTCCGGGTATAAATAGGCGATTTGAGCCTTGGGTCTTGTGTGTAGTCGTCCTGGTCGTTTGGTACAGTTCATGCCTTCCGTACGAGAGGTTGCGGGTACGAACCCAGCTTTGTTACATGATGCTTCTTTTCTTCAAAGCCTCAGACAGAAAGACCCTCAATGATTGTTTCAACTATGACTGCATGCCTTATATGACCTGGCCAGGATACGCATGCCATATAAGGCATCTTTCACCCACTATGGAATATGCCTTATTTAAAAACTACAGCATGTACACCTTCCCTATAAGGACACTTCACCCTACTATGGAATATGCCTACTATGACATCATCCGTGTACACCTTCCCTATAAGGACACTTCACCCCTTTATGGCACATGCCTTCTATGACATCATCCGTATACACCTTCCCTATAAGGACACTTCACCCCTTTATGACACATGCCTACTATGACCTCATCCGTGTACACCTTCCCTATAAGGACACTTCACCCCACTATGGAAGATGCCTTATATGACCTCATCCGTGTACAACTTCCTTATAAGGACACTTCTCCCCACATATAGACCAATCCCAAAGGTCAAAGGTCACATTCCTTCTATGGACCAATCATCCGTATTTGGAAAGGTCAAAGGTCACAGCAAAGGTCAAAGGTCACATGGAAAGGTCAAAGGTCAAAGGTCAAAGGTCAAATGACATCTTCCATATATGGACTATTCAGCCTTATATGGCACCTCAAAGGTCAAAGGTCAACTCAAAGGTCAAAGGTCATCTGCCATATATGGACTATTCTTCCTTATTAGGAAGCCAGGGGTCAAAGGTGACTTTTGAGTCAGAACCCCCACCGCACTATACTACTCCCATTGCCATTTTGCAGAATTTTTCAGAGTTTTGCGCACTCGTTTTTTCAGGTCAACATTTTGACTGACTATTTGTGTAATTTGGGGACAAAACCCGATACTGCAGCTCATCATGCAACAGAATTACAAATGTTCGTACAATTATCAAGTTTATTAGGTCATAACTTTGGTCTACTTTGCTTGATTTATTCAATTCAGGGCTCGTTAGAAAGCTCTTGGCAGGAGCAAAGCCAGGCCACCAAGCTCCATTATGAAGACGCCACAAATCAGGTGCAGTATTAAACACAGCAAAGTCGCCAGCAATAGCCCTTGGCGGATTATGCCGGCATAATATTTGGCATAATCTTGGGATTTCGTCAAAAAATTATGCTCCGGCATAATATACGGATTCCAACGTGTAAGGTCGGCATAATCTTTCGGTTTAGACAAAAAATATGCTTAGGGGCATAATACAGCTTTGTCAGAAAGCCTGCAGATGTTTTTTTTAAATACCCCAGTTACGACTCCTTGTCATAGCCCTTGGCGGATTATGCCGGCATAATATTTGGCATAATCTTGGGATTTCGTCAAAAAATAATGCTCCGGCATAATATACGGATTCCAACGTGTAAGGTCGGCATAATCTTTCGGTTTAGACAAAAATTATGCTTGGTGCATGGCCGTGTGTGTATGCGTGGTTTCTCAATCCTCTATGTACAGCGTGAATACATAGTGGAATCGAGCATAATTCAGCATAATTCAGCATATTTGTTGGCATAATTGTGGCATAATCAAAAGCATAATTTGACGATTGGTCGAGCATAGTCCGCCAATGGCTAGTCAGCAAGCCTAATATGCAAGCAAATTCGTCCCATCAACATCATTCCACACTCCTTCAGCGCATAATGCTCACATTTTTTTCGAGGCGTTTCTAACTTCAGCCGGCTACGTCACTATGATGTGCTCAGTCAAGTCGCTCAAAGGAAAAAAGGGATTTTCCCCGAAAATGGCAAAGAGATTGATCAAAAGAAAGGAAAAGGACAAAATGTTAGGAGTTGTGACGAACATACAGCTGTTACAACACTGAGACAGTACAGCATACCACTGAGAGGCAAATGCATTTGACCCTCCCAAAAACCAGTGTTCACGACCAAGCATTTCTCACAGCATCGCTCATTAGCGTATGTCCTTATACGTAACCATGGCAAACCCCTCTCTGATTCAAACAAGGCCACACCACGCGGACTGCACACCACGCGGACTGCACAACACACAGTTCGGCACAACACATCTCCCATGGTCGCCAATTGGCCTGTTTCTCTGTAGCCAAGCTGCTCTATCTTGGGTATCTTGGTGACTTTAAGCTGCAGAGAAACTGAGGATGATTTATTGACCGCTAATTCCCAGAGCAGTGTTCTCTTACTGTCAAATAAAAAGGGATGCAGCTAAATACTCGTTGGCTCGCAACAAGCCATAAAAGGCCAGTGTCACACTTGCCAACAGCATGGCATGGTCTGCAGGGGCATAATTTGATCTGTCAAGGTACAGCCGGAATTGAGCAAGATCGGGCATCGTCATCCCTCTTCGATTAGATGCAGAAGGAGATCGTTACTTCTCAATCCCATGCAACACAGCAGTCAATCGGGCAAATTTGAGACTGCCAATTGGTGCGCCATTACAGAGCAAGTGGTATCTTACGGCAGCTAAGTACACACGAATAGTCGACAGCGACAGGCGTTTGGTAACAAACAGGTCAGAAGTAAAGGATATAATATGTTCAGCGGTGGGGATAAGAGGGGGAAAAGAGTGGATTTGACAAAACTTTATGTATGGGGAAATACCGGGCTTAAAAGTCTGGGCTGTGGAACCAGAGACTGAGTCTCTGACGAGGTAATTACTGGCAGCAATCAGAGCAGCGAGTTGAGCGGAGGAGGTGGCACTTGGCATTGGCTGGCTGTGGAAGCCAGTTCTCGGAAGCGAGTAATCTGCAGGCGAGACAAAGCATCAGCAATGCAATTATCAACACCGGCAATGTGCCGTAAAAACAATATGAAATTGCCAGATGCGGCCTGAGCAAGCAAGAATCTGATAATGTGCATTTAATTCTTCTTGGGGTATGAACCTTTCTGCCACGCTAAAACAGCAACTTTATTATCACAGTGAAACATAAGGCGCTTGCCGGACCAAGAGTGTCCCCACACAGCGCATGCTAGAGCAATTAGAATCAGCTCACGAACCATAATTGCTTCATCCTGCATCTCAGCGGCCCAGTGCCCCAAAAAACCATTGTCCTTGATAGAAACCGCCAAAGCCAACATCAGAGACATCCGTGAAAAGCTCAAGGTCAGGGGACTTTGAACACTAGCCATCATGGAAGAATAATTTGCCGTTCTCGTTTGCAGCAAAGCAGCGCCACCATTCGATGTCCAAGTGGGCTTCTGTGTCAATATGGATGACTGACTGAAGAGACGGAGCGGGGCAGCTTAAACCGATGACGCGGCGGATGAAGGTCCTGCCAGGTGAAACCACCTTGGCGGCAAAGGACAGGGTGCCTATCAGCGTCAGCAGTTTCCGTTTTGTGCAGCTAGCGCGCGTTGACCAGTCATTCAAAGCCTCTAGCATGACAGATAACTTCTCGTCAGGTAGCCGCATCACCTGCTCAATGCTATCGACTTCTATGCCAAGTACTGTCACCACCGTTGCTGTTCGAACCGCCTTCTCTGCACCAGTGGCGAATGGGATGCCGAGGTTGTCAAATACCTGCAGAAACGTTGCTTTTTGAATAGCTGCTGTGGAGCAGTGGACAGATGAGCTAGGTGGTGCGACTCCGGTGTAATCATCGAGATAGTGCTCCAAGTCGTGAATGGAATAGTTATGGCGAAGAATCCAGCACACCAGCTCAGCCACGGTGTTGAACAATGCAGGCGATAATCGCAGTTGAAATGGAAGCATCTTGTCGACGTAGTAGTGACCTTGCCACACCATGCCGAGCAGAGACCAATCGTCAGGGTGCACGGGAACATTACGGAATGCATGCTGCCGGGATGTCAACTTTGAACACTGGAGCACCCTTGCCATGACGAATAACGTGACATACAATATCATCAACAGCCACATACATCAAGCTGTATTGGTCCTCGGAGATGCCATCATTGATGTTGTGTCTGGCCGAGGCAGAGAGGTGCACAATGTGTCTGTGCCCACCAGACTCCTAAGGCAGGACCCCTATGCCAGCTGATCGAAATGGCACACATGGTGGTGCGGGGAACGGCTCAGCAGCATGACCACGTAAGCACTCCTTAGCCAGGTATTCCAAAACAATGTCAGGATTGTCAAATGCAGAAGACAGATAAGGGAAGTACGGGGATCAGCGTAATCAATATGAAAACCGTGCATCAAGACATGTATAAGTGCTTCTACCATTCCTCTATTAGGGTAGTTAGTGAGTTCGTCTGCCAAAGCGTAGACGTCCACTGGGCTAGACGGGCGGTGCTGTGGCAGCGGTGCATCCGAAGGTTAACTACCTGGCCTTGGCGAGGCCGGGGCAGCGGCTGGCTCCATTGCCACCGGTTTCGCAGTAGGAGCCAAGTGGTGGTATCTACAGATGCGAAAGCTAAACGTGCCTTTGTTGAAGACGTCACAGGTGTGAGTGGTGCTGCTGGCGAACTTCTGTGCTTGAGTCCGTGGAGTATACAGGCAGGACTCGGCAACATGTCCGTACTTGTTACAGGCGGAGCAAAAATGACAGAGACTGGCCGGTGAAACAACGGGTGTAGAGGTCCATGTGGATTTTATCCCACTGCGCCTCCAAGCAGCGCGACGCTCTCTGGCGGAACTGAACATCGTACTCAGCTACTGCCGCCCATCTGAACCTCTTGGCCGCCTACAAAACCTGTAGCTATACCCCTACAGCTCCAGAGACTTGGCCAGTTGTTGGTCAGAGATGATGCAGCAGTGAATTGTCCATGCCTCGATCCACATGCTGAGGAACGAAATATTGGGCTTTTGCCGCAGGTCACCACCAACTGGTCGTCTTGCTCAGAGAAGCAAATGCATTTCTGAAGTGGTTCGTCGGCAGAATTGATGGGACTGGCAGGGGGCAATAGGCAGCTGAGATCAATATATTCCCCACTGAGTACTTCCGCAATTATTGTCATGCTTGAATGGCTATGCACGGTAGTAGCTCGAGGCTTACCGGAGGCAGGCGTCAGGAACGAAGTTGCTGCTGCTAGTACAGACACAGAGGGAGGGCTGGCTGTCACGGCTGGCTGGCGGTTGAGAAGGAGATCGTCAGGTGCATGTACTTCGGGCACATCAAGGGCTTCGCCCGGTGCGTCCGCCGTCAGAGCAGGAGCAGAAGCCGCCAGCTGTGACAAAGCTGCCGAGGCGATCATCTCTTGCAACTGTGCTGACTGCCTTGCAGTAAAACCACCCAGAACATTGCATACTGGCCAACCCTCCCGGTTTTCCCTGGAAAATCCCGGGAAATCAACACGACTTACGAGGTCCCGGGGATTTCAAGCAAACTCCCGGAAAAGTCGTAGTTTTGCCTGATACAGGATTTTCCTGATAACTCCATGGATTCGCCTCGATTGTCCCGTTTTTCAAAAATATGTACGGTGCCTTTTCGCACTTCGAACTGCGCATGACACTTTCAAGACCTGACAAGCTTGGCCTGCAAGATCTGCACTGACAAACTGAGAGGCGGGCGCCAACTAATCAAACTGCACTGCAGGGTCGAACTGTGCTGTACGCAGATCTGCAGAGTCAAACGTTTTTCGGCGGGAAAAGCTCTTTTTCCCTAGTTTATGTGCCATCCAGGAATTTTGAGATAAATCCAAGGATTCTGCATGTCTTGTCAAGGGTTTGAGATATTGGTTGTTGGTCAGTGTGCATTGTAGATTAACTGAGAAAACACAACCTTGAGTCACCTTGATTAACTGGATGACAGAAAATTTGACAAGGAAGCTGCTTTGCTGACACAAGGCAAGCCAAAGCGGCCATTTAACCTTTTTTCTTCCGCCGTTTTCAGAATTTGTTTATGAATTTAAAATGTGCGCATGATGAATCCGTGACCAACACTTGCAGGCGTGGGCTAACTTCGTCATCTTAAATCAAGAATATCTTATGCAGACATGGTGGCACGATAGGTACTGTCCAGGTACCACTAGCTTGGCATGTGATAGTTTGTGTTGTTGCAGGAGGATTGACGGCATAGTCAGGAGAACAAGTTAATTTCTTGGTACTGCCGACGGTTGTAGAACCAGCCATTGGATATGTACCTTCAGTTGGATTTGGGGGTGTCTTACAGTCTCCTAACAATACAGTTCAAAAAGTAATGGAATATTCTAAATTGTTTTGATTGACAAAGTACATTGAGTGTTACGTTTATCATCCTCACTTGGACTCTATACTGTTCACTAGCAATGAATAATTTCAAACCTTTTGACATACTGCACATATGGTTATCAGGGGCGTAGCCAGGTTAGTGATCAAGGGGGGGGGGGGGTGCCAAGACTTTCCCCACACAAAAGTACAGTCATGCACTTATGTTGGTTCTTTCCTGCATATTGTTCGATCCGTGAAATGGGGGGGGGGGGGAGAGCAAAAGTCGCTCCTTATTTGACGCTGAAGATCAATCATGGCAAATCTCCAACCAAGCAGTAGTAACAATTATGGTATTTTTACTACACCCTGCTTCCAACTAATGATGGACCGAGTCCTGGATGCTGCTTTCTCCAGATTTATCACACTCTCCATCGAACTTTTAAAATGGGATTTCTGGAGCGTTTTTTCCTCTTCGTCATGTTTGATACTGAGTAAGGCATTCTTGTTCAAACCTACACTATTCCCCACAAAAACGCAAAACTGTACTTCAAAGTTACTTTAACTCTTCTGATGCTGTACCCACACTTGGAATACATTAAAGAAACTTCTTTGCCTTTCCACAACCTCCAACGCCACCAATTAACTGCCAGAACTACATTAAACAAAACATTGCGAGAACAAACTGCTATGTCTGACGTGTGCCTTGCATAGACCGTGCTGCTACTTCCTTGCTTCAACCCATGGCATGTTTCAACGGTATGATTCTTTGCTTCAAGCAAAACGTGTGGAGTGTGATGCAAATCATGTGCTGAGCTTGCTGAGGCCTGACGTGACACTGCACAGCGGCAGGTACGAAGCGGAGTTCCCTTGACTAGAAATTGCATTGCAAAAAGGCCAATCATGAGACAAAATAGTCAACTGCGTGTGGATTGGTTTCAGATACATTGTACTTGTACGTGCAGGTCTGAATCAGGGAGTAGTACCTACTACTTGCATTTCCTGGTCTCTCTCTCTCTCTCAGTCTCTCTCTCTCTCTCTCAGTCTCTCTCTCTCTCAGTCTCTCTCAGTCTCTCTCTCTCTCTCTCTCTCTCTCTCTCAATCTCTCTCTCTCTCTCTCTCAGTCTCTCTCTCTCTCTCAGTCTCTCTCAGTCTCTCTCTCTCTCTCAATCTCTCTCTCTCTCTCAGTCTCTCTCTCTCTCTCTCTCTCTCTCTCTCTCTCTCATCCTCTCTGTCTCTCTCTGTCTCACTCTGTCTCTCGCTCTCCTCTTTTTTATTTTTTTTATTTTATATCACATTGCAC